TCCTAGTGGTCGCTTGCGATATTGCATGAGAAATGTCTCGTAGGCCAACATTTGTAAAACTGTAGACGGCTGCAAACAAGCTCATTTTTAATGCCTTCATTATGAATTTTGAGGTTCTTTGATGGTTTTGCTGACTTTTCATTTTCTCCAAAATCTCCAAAATATCCCCACATTTACAAAAAATATTAAATACAAAGCACATTTTCTAAATTACCAGAGGAGCCAAATGTGTTTCAAAGGCTCCGGTAGTTTACCTGCAGCTCCACCTCTGGGTCGAAATGTCCGCTTTACACAAGATATCTTCAATCGTGTGATTTGTATTCAATTTCGCTGAGCACATTCACGCCCCCAAGAGGCTTTGTAGTTTGCTGTTTTGAGCTTTCAATCCGCCACCCTATCTGCATGTAGTTAAAATAAGTTTTCAGAAGATTCGTATCAAAGTCAAATTGATAAATGTCTCATCCACTGCAGACGTCGGTGAGCTTTTAAGTTGTATCTGATTATCCGCATGCCATCAATTGAAGGTCAAAGCAAGCATTGTAATGCAAAAATTCGAGTCGGGGCACGTGAACTAAATAATCCTCGCACATGTGTGGGTGCAGGCTTGGGAGTGTGAAGTTGTGTGTGTGAGCATTTTCTCTATTGCCAGCTTGTCACCTCTGGGAGGAGAATAATGGCTGAATTTCAGCAGTCAATGTTGCTGATGCAGCTGCTGGTTGAAATTCAATAGTGGAGGAGCTTTTGCAACAGGCGCTAACCTCTGTGTGTGTCTCTGTGAGGATAATCCCTCCTGGCCATTTGGATGCTGAAATGGCTGGATGTCTATGGGGAAGCTGTCATATCTTATAGAGTTTGGAAAATGATGTCTCCATTTTTTCTGTTCGCCTAGTTTTTCTCTCATATGTTTTTTTTTCTTCTCCAGCCTCTTGCAGCTTCTGCTTTTTCTGTGGCTGGATTTGGTCGATAGATTTTTTTTTATTATTAATATTGGTTAGGCAACTGTTTTTGTTATGAAGTGAAAAAGACAATTCATTCATTCAATTCATACCCCAGTTGTTTTTGTTATTATGATTATTATTACACCTCCTGTTTCTAATAAATTGCACTATTGTGTGCTTACTCTCATGCAAATACATGTGAAACATATCAAAGATTTTTTTTTTTGTACAGAAATAAGTGGTAACCATCCTTTTCTATTGTCCCTGTGTGTCCCTGCAGGTTACCTGTACGTCACCTGTCTCATCCAGAACTGCTCGGACAAGATGGTGACGGCTCAGTTTCTTGGCAAAATCGATCACAACTCGCTGCTGGTGCAGGATGACTACATATTTGTCAAGGTAAATGTCAACACAACAAGGGAGTTGCAAAGAGGTTTAGTGGAGCGCACATACATGTCACTGTCTTCGGAATTTTTAAAATTAAAAAACAAAAAAACCCCAATATTCTCAAATAATCCTGCCTTGCATCCTTATACCTTCTGGCTACTTCCATATTAACTTTAAAATCTCTGTGCTAAAACCTCTTTTATTGCACATTATTAGCTTTTTCTTATCATTTGTATTCTATTTCAAATAGAACAACTAACTACTATGTTGTAGATTTAATTGAATAGATTCATCATTTTTTGGTTTATAATTTGTTTTTAACCAACTTTTGCATATTTGCACTGAACTTTGGTATCCAGAATTTTGCTTGACACTCAGGATGTATCTGCCTCTGCTGCTTCAGTCATGACTTGCAAGGGTTCTTTGGAAGTTCTGTTACATAAATTAGCGTTGTGACTTGGCCAGGGACTGACTTCTACAAATAAAAATGTAAAGTCTTGATTATGTTCCCTTGTGGACACGCACATCGACAACTGCAGACAGCATTAATGTGTATGTTGTTGCTATTATACTCCTTTCTAGACAGCAAGAATCTGCTGGGTGGTCTTCATTCAATACATGCACAGTAGGTTGCATCTATATATTAGTGTTGCACAGTATACTGATACAAGAAAGGCATAGCAATCCCTCTTATTGTTAGGACTGGTGCTTAAAGAATGACTGCGTTATATCTTGTGAGATGCATTGATGTGCAACAACGAAGCAGTCCGTGTGCAGCGCTCAGCCTCCGCTCTTTGCAGGCATGGTGGGCACATGCCAGCCGCTTTTTTCTTCTCTCAAAGGCTTTCAGGGCGACAAAACGAGAGACTGCAAAAAGAAGTGCTCTTATCGACTGTCCACGGATTGTCCACAAAAGCAGAAGATGGCATTATATCATCTACAACTGACAGTCAGAGCAAACCCATTGACATGATAGATAACAGTTACATCATGCCCCTGTCTTCTTAACTAACTTACCAATGTGGCATGCATCTCTATAGTCATATATATAATCTATAGTCATCTTCTGCACAGACAAACGGATGAGTCTGTTTGGACTCTTGCAGACTTGGGGAAATAACGAAATTTATGTCACGTGGACCCTCCTGTGCTCACAGGTGTGGAAGCTATACCACTGACCTCATACTACTTTGTAGTCAGGATCTGTTCCATACATGTACAGTGGGTTATATCTGCATATTCATTGACCTTGTAGTGGAAGGAGACACAAATTCTAGGCTGGCCCAAGACATCTTTGACAGGGACATGAATTCTGAAGGACCTTGTTAGATGACAGAGTTTACATTACACAGTTTCTGTACTCACAGCCTGAGAAAGTTAACAAAAAAATGAATCCAATGAAAAAAAAAACACCATTGACCCACTTGTGGATTGTTCAAATAAGACAGTACGGGTTGTTTGTCCTTCAACCTTTCTTTCATCATGCAAGAAAGAATACTATGTGCTTCTAATGGTCAACATCACGAAGCACCTTGTGGAAACTCTCATGGGAGGTGAAAGAGGAAAAAAAAATTCTGACAGGCTGGTGTTTTGGTTTTCATGTCATAAGGTGTCAAAGATGCGGCATCGATTTTTGTCAACTATAATTCACTGCACGAAGTAAAATCATCACTATTCTTGCCCGACTGTCTTTTTCTCTCCTGACACCCAAAGTCTTTCAGCTCAGACTGCTGTCAGGCAGCTGACGTTGTTAAGTCTAAACCTGGAATAAGTGACACCAATGTTTTAGAACGAGATGAGTTGTTGATCACACGCTTTTTTACGTCCGGAAACATTTTGCCAGGTCACAGACAGTCATTGTTCACATGACTGCAAAAGATCACTTGTTAGGAAATCATAAACATTTAAGTAGAAGTCCTTTGTCTTAATGACTTTCAATAATGTCTGGGAAACCCCACATATTATTGCAAGGTGGAACGGTGGTTAACAACGTTACCACGCAGCAAGAAGTTCACTGGTTCGCGTCCCGGTGAGGACATCGTGGGTTCTCTTCGGGTTCCCCAGCTTCCTCCAACAAGGTCCAAAAACATGTTGAGGTTAATTGGTGATTCTAAATTGTCTGTAGGTGTGAATGTGAGTGTGTTTGGTTATCTGTCTCTAAGTGTAGCTCTGTGATAGACTGGCGATGTCCAGGGTGTCCCCAGCCTTCGCCATAAGTCTCCAGCCCCCCCCCCTACGACCCTAGTGAGGATGAAGCGGTGTATAGATAATGGATGGATGGAAATCCCAGACACAAGGACCCTGGAATGAGCCCACATTATTGGAATCTAGCTATCTTTAATGTTTTCAATCACACCTGTGCTTTTCAAGCTATGGAATGCAAGGAAGTTGAACAAGTTGCACGCAAATTTGTTGGAATGAATCTTTGCATTATTTGCCTTTGTCCTAAACTGAGGTTTCATGAGCGCTGGAGGAGCAGCACTCTCTTCCTGTTTTGTAACTTAAAGCAGTCGAACTAGAGGTTTGAAAACTTTGATCTCACTGCAAACTGCAGACAATAGCATCGCTCAATCCTCTAAGCAGTCTACTCGTGTTAATTAACACTAATGTCTTGAAATGAGTACTGCCATTGTGGAGTTAATGCGGCTAAATTGCACCTTTAAGTAAGTCTTTGTAAAACCTCCATCTCCCTTGTTATTTATTAACGCACAGCATTTGTGCATTTGTTGTATCTGTCAGTGTATCTGGTGACTGTGTTTGCACTCACAGCTCAGGGCTGCAGCTTTCTGTTTCTTTTCTTTACTGATAAACTCCTACTGCCCAGATAACATATAGTGGCACTGCCTGCTTGAAGTGGAAAAGAATTGCTATTCGGGACAGTGTGCAGAATTAATCTCGCCTTGTCTATAATTGACTTGCCATGCAGCACAGTACTGTACACTCTGCAGAGGCCAGTAGCTGAATCCCATTTGCATGTGATAACAGGAGAATATACATGAGCTGGTATAGCGGAGCAGAATCCCTATAGTGTGATGGAACAGTCGTATCTTGTTGGGGTGTGTGTTTGTGTTTCTTTATGCTTGTGTGTTTGGATATGCATATCTGAAGATGTGTGCATGCACGCATGCGTGTTTGTGAGTGTCGGCAAGAAGAATTAAAACCTCATTAGGCAACAGTAGACTGGTCCATTATCCGTCTGGGATTATCCTCCCACTACTTCCAGTATTACTGACTCACTGATATCAGATTTAGTGACAAATATGTGGACTGAGAACAAGCGCTCACTGTCCACTGAGTTTCAATGGGACATGTGGTTTGATTTATTCATTAAGATCTCTCAAAACTGAATGCTCAGACTGCCCAGCCGTCAGAATCTAGATGAGGGAGGAGTTGGTAAAAACTTCATCGTGGTTCAGTAGTAAAGTTTTCCAAGCAGCTACGAGTGATTTTTGCCCCAGGTTTCACCTCCCAGGCTGCTGCCCTACTGTCTCATTAGTGGGGAATAAACCTGAAGCCTGAGACAAACCTGCAGGCTGTACTCAGGGCTGTAAAAACAGCAAATCGCATTTATTTTTCATTCTTTAACTGTTATGCAGCTTTTAATTTGCTAATAATTTCACAATCTACATCCATTTATATTTTTTATTAGCATAGTACAACTACTAGCCTTATATCCGGTTTCAGTGTGTGTTATTTACTTGTTGTGTGGGTGCAGATGAAGGTAATGTGGTGATGGAGAACCTTTGATCCCAGGTCAAGTCAACAACCTTGACACCACACAGACACATAGAGCGCCTTTCAAAAGCGTGTGATCATGGAGTGAAATTTGATATTTTTACATGTAAATATATTTTAAATTCAAAAGACAAGTGTGATGAGTCAGTGGTGTGTTTCACAGAGATGGCTGTGTTGTGCTGATTACCCCACTTTCAGATTTTCAAAATTAAATTAGTGACCCACTGACAGCTGGAACTCGCTGTTTCTTTATGCATGGGTTGCATGGGAGCCCTCTTTTCACAGTGTTGTATAGAAAAAAAGCACAAAAATGTATCGCATTTAAGTCTCAAAACACATACAGATAAAAACTAGTGGTGTACTCATAACTGCTCAGCACTTGAGAGTTTTGGGACTCGTCTGCTTTTGACTGATTGCAGTTACTGTCCGAACCTGCTGTTGAACACTGACAGCTTTTTCTTACTGTCTGTCTAACATAGTGTACCACTGTAGGCCTTTCCACATCTCGCTAAAGTAATGAGACATAACTGCTGTGAACAATGCAGAAAGGGAAAAATTATAACTTTCCAAAATGTAGTTTATGAAACACAGTAAGATAACGGGTGACAAAATATTAGTATTTAAGTGCATCATTTTAGAATGCTCAGTGACTAAGTATTGTACTTTTGACTCTACATTTATTAGACAACTATAATTACTTTGTATAGTCACATTCATAACACAAAAAAATAAAAATAAAAACAATAAGCAAGTCATTGTTGGGACTAATTATTAAATTTAGCTCAAACTTTATTTATCCCCAGATGGGAAATTCACAAACTACCCAACAGTAAACTGAAAATCAGCTTCACTTTTACCAGCTGCACCATTAAAATAATAACTACATGCATGCATCAGTAATTACAGTCCAACAATACGATACAAATAATTCTGAAATGGATCATTCTGCATTCTGCATCTTCCACCGCCATCAGAGGGTCAGAGACAGAACCAATCAAAGGAGCCTTGAAGGTCTCAAAAGTCAACTTGACACACCAGCAAGCGTTGAGCAAGCAAGAAATGCTCCCGCACGAGGATGGGTTTGGTCGCTGATGCTGTTTTCTGCAAGTACAACAGTGCGGAAAGCTCTGAATTAGAAGAAGAAAAATACTTGTGGACTTCAAAATAAACACAGGACAGCAGCTGATGACAGAAAAACCCTTCAGGCTGTGAGGAAAAACCCCAAAACAACGGCCAGCGTAGTCGCAGCCGACCTGGAGAGCACAGGTGTGAAAGTGTCACAATCCACAGTTTGCAGAAACCTTGGACAGCAGAACTGCACAGGCTGTACCGCAAACCTCCTATCAGCAAACACTGGAGTTTGCCAAAAAGACGAGCCAGAAAGGTTCTGGATCAGAATAAACCTCTACCAACGTGATGGAAAGATAAAAATGACTTTGACTGGAGAAGTCAGTCAACAGATTTAAAATCTTTTTGAGCATTTTAGCTGATTGAAGAACTAGAATCAGCTGAATGAAGACAAACATTCATTTGTTAAATAACTTTAACACATCTTTAAAAGGGGGAGCCAACATAGATATGACTCTTTGTATAAAGTGCATATAAATGACAGGAAATGAAAGCTCAAAGCCGGTCTCTGCTCACATTCCATTGCCTAAAGTGGCAAAAACATCCAACTTCACCCTCCTGTTACCATACTTTTGGATGGCAGTGTATCCACACACACTTGCCAGTGGTGTAGCCAGGTCCTCAGGGTGCTTATCTGATGTTCAATAGAAATATGCAGAGTCAGAGCTGAGAATGCAGCGTTAGCACTGGCCCCCTACACACACCTCATCTATCCCTCTTTGCCAGCCATTCTTTAGAAAGTGATTCCTTTTGAAAACACAGTCGATAGCGCTTCCTTCAGGGGGGCTCTCATTTTAAAGAAAGGGCTTTCATTGTTTCATCACTTTTTCATCACTGTTCAGCATTTAAGAAAGAAGAAGAAGAAGAAAAAAAAGAGGCTGTGCTCAACTGCTCCTTTCAATCATAAGCAATAGTAATCACAGCTCAATCTGAACTCCGACGACAGAGCCTCAGATATCCGAGTATGAGAGAGCGAGAAAAAAAGAAAAACTAAAGATCTTCCCACAAAACCCAAAATAGAAGCGCTGAATACAAAGCTCTCTCCATCGGATTTTGAAAGCAGCTCTAAAAGTTTTAGCGCTGCTCACCTTACAAAAAGAAAGCCAGACGGCGACAGGGAGTGTGTTTCAGAAAGTGGTATGTCGGCATCTGAGCCCATCACTTGGGATATGACACATTCAGCTCCTGTTTAAGTCGCTGTCAGTCACCGTCGTCGTCTCTTTCACCGAGTTTCCTCTGCTAAATCGCAGCCTCGGCTCTCCTAGTGAGCTTTCCCATTGCGGTCTCAGCAGGACGGCAGCGTGATTCAGTCTTTTGCCCATTTGTGAGGTGAATGCCGAGGTCTGTGCAGTGCGGGGGAGTTTCTTTGCATTTACCTTTTCAGTACCGGGTGAGTCACCGACAACAGATGGTGAACTGTGTCTCTCCACCTCCACTGGCAGTCAGCTGCACACTGGCAGATGTTGAAGATCTTACTTTGTCTGAAAATGTATTGTTCTGTTTTTCCTCCCAGATATTATTTAAATGCAAACTAAAACCTTTGACCTTAACTTTACCGCGCAGGCTTAGTGTCATGTTGCCCACATTGTGTGTTTTCTTCTTCACTTTTACATTTCTTTTATTTTCACTGTTGTTGTCAGGTCTTACCTCCTCTGCTTTCTCCTTCCCTGTTATATCTTTTTGTGTGTGCTTTTGAAATGTAGACTGTACATAAAAGATGGATGCATCCTTCGATTTTGGCGAGTGAAGCGGATGCAAAATTGCCTTAAACCTGCATTCTTTCTAACAACAACCAGCGGGCCACTATTCTGGTTGTAAAAAGAAGTTTGATTAAATAAAGGTCTATAAGAAAATTATCCTACTTTTCTCTTGGTTTGTTACATCAGTAAATATTTTCCAAATGAGTTTAAAGTCTTAACAGCTAGTTTCAAGACTTTTTGAATACAGCATGGTGTTCATTTAATAAATTATGGCCCCATTTAGAGGAAAAGAGACAATAAAGTTGGATTTGTTTTAGGGTGTGGCCACCTTGACCAGTCACTAGCATATCACCATGTCAACAGTCAAACTCAAAGCTTCAAAACGAAAGCCCACAGGTCGCTACATCCATATTTCAATACACAGGTATGAAAATGAAACAATTGACACAATTGATTGCAGAGCCTCACATATTTACTAAAGAAGCTTTCTGGTTCTACTACGACCAAACTGAATAGCAATTCTTGTTCTTTATTTCTGTTGCATTGAATCTGTTAGAGTTGCAGTTGGGATTTTTTTGTAAAGTAGAAATGTCCAAAAAAAAAACAGCCTAGGGTTTAGGGGGTTGAGCACATCTTTCTGGGTTTTTCAAAATAAAAACTGAGAAATCTATAAAATATACAATTAAGAAAAAGCATTTGTGATCAAAAACAAACTCATACTGGCATCAGTTCTTGTATTTTGGATGGTGCTGCAAGGAAATGATTGTATTAAGACTGTACAGTTTATGTTGGATTTATTTTTTTCCCCCCATGTCCTAGGTCACCACAGGGAATCGCACCAAGCACTATGTGTCCTATCGCCGCAACGAGTTTGTCCAGATGAGGTTTCCCAAGTACGCCTTGCCAAAGGTAAAGTGCAATATAAGTGCTACATTTTTCAATTCAGGTGTTCATTCAAGTGAAGTAGAATTTACTTGGAGAAAGAATGTTTCGATGGCTACATTTCTTAGTAACCAGTGTTGGGAACAATTCTCCTTCCCCTTGATCGTATTCTGTCATTATGGAAAATACATTCATTGCCATGCTGATGACACCCTGCTTTACGCCTCTTTCTGCCCTCACCAGCTGTTGACACACCAACAACATCTGGATGTCAAACAACTGTCTTTAACTTAATGGGAATAAAACCTACCCTTCTACTATTACCGTACCGACGCCCCTGTCCAAATCTCCCCTCAAAATCTAAATCCTTCAAAACTTTAATTCAATGCGCATATCAATAATATGTCCCATACTCCCTATTCCTACCGAAGCAGTATTTCCAAGCTTCGCCCCTTCTCTCTTCCAACACAGTACTCAACATCTTGCATTGATTACTGCAGCGCCATCTTCTCTGGTATTCCCCATAGACTCCTCCATTGGCTTCAAATCATTCAAAATTCATTACCCACACCAAGACCACCGACCATATGCCGCCTATCCTCATCCAGCAGTCGAATCCGTTGCTTGCCTTCAAGTCCCACCATAATTTTAATACTGCATATCTTTCAGACCTTTTCCATTTTTTCACTTCGTTCTGCACCTGAATTGCAAGGTGTCTATGGGAGTTTTGAAAGGTACCAAAAGAACATGCTATGATTATTGTAATTTAAGTTAGAGGTCATAAGACTTTAGCATCAGTCTGACAACGTCTGTGTGTCTACTGCCACACTGCCCTAAGACGCCCGGTCATGTTCCCATTAAGTCAGTACAAGTGGTTGAGGCTTGTCTGTCACTCCAGGGATTCAAACCTGCAACTTCAAAGCCCTCTTACCACTGTGTTCCACTTCTTCATTGGTGTCAAGTGTTACTGCAGTACCTACGCTCAGATTAAACCTGGTACTGACCTGACACACGATAGCACCCATAAAATATTCACCAGTGGGCATCGATCCAGTCGCATCTCATGTCACTGACATAGGCAAAGACGATAAATGAGCTCCACTTCAATGCAACGCAGGACAGGAACCTCTGCTGTCAGCGGCACTGGAGGGGGGAGGGAGGGAGGAGTTTTAGCGCGACACCAGCCAGAGTGCTATTGAACTGCGCTGATTGAATGCGGCGCTTAGGGAGACGTCTCATGTATTTTTCAGCTACAAACTGAGAAAAAAAGAACCTTCAAGACGATCAGTGCCATTGACAGTCTGTCAGGGAAAACTCTGTGGATGGAGTTTTGCACCAACACACATGTTCTCTGAAGGAAATGTATAGAATTACACGTGTTCGATTCCAGCCCTCCACTTAGAGAGATCTTACGCCCGAGTTGTTTGACTGCTTCGGCTATAGCACTCAGTGATCCTTAAGGAAGGTGAAAGGGATTGAATTACACGCACACACACACACACACCTTCCAGCCAGACGATGGGTATCAATGTGATTAGGTGTGGGCGGAAGACGGCGGATAAATTAGTTTACGTACGTGCATGCGCGCTGGTGTAGGTGTGTAGAGTGTGTGTTCAGTTAAAGTATGGCCTAGTTGCTCTCTCTCTCTCTCTCTCTCTTGTCTCCCCTCTCTCTCTACATGTGTCCTCTTACTTGGGTGAGCAGATAGGTCACACTTTGCGATGCTTTTAGGTCGAGCGACATGGGGGGAAGTGTTGGGGGGGAGTGACACAGAGAGGAAAAGAGGGGATGGAGAGAAACACTGAAGGGAAGAGATCAGAAGAAAGTGTGTGTGTGGGAAAGGGGGAGGTTGGGGGGTGAGAGGAGGGAGTGTTTCCATGTTTTTCCACTGTGAATAATTGAAAGCCTGCAGGATGAAAAATGCAGAGGCCATCAGAGAAAGCAGTTTGGCTCTGTCCTGCGAGACCTGACCCGAGTTATGGATTAACCACACACACACACACATACATGCACAGAAGCATGCATGCAGCCTGCTGGGCTGTGAAATCACAGGTAATAATTGTCCCTTTTTTTTTTTTTTTGCTCCGCTTCCATCCTCTCTGCTGCCGTCTACCACTCAGGATGTAATCACCTTTTCTGTGGTTTTTAACACTTTGTTTACCCAAGTGAGATTATACAACCGCAAGTGTGCGGTTAGCTCCAGCAGACTAGATAGAGTGTCTTGCTGGAGGGCACTGCAGAAATGGCACTTGAAAAAGAGAGAGAGAGGCACTTTGGTGTCATTGAAGTCGTGCCAGGAAATTTACATTTTTGGCATTATTTTGGAAGTCTCAGATTTCTCGTGTTATTGCTGGTTGACAGAACTCCTCATGCTCAAATGTGACACTGTTCCCAGTGTTTTAGCAGCAGAATAGCTGCAGTTTTATACATTTACTTCAAGGAATTGTTATAAGGCATTGGCTGTTTGGTATAGAAGTTAAATAACATAAGTTGCCTACTTACAAATACGCATTATTTTTCAGTAATTTGTCATACAGTCTCTGAAAGTTTTGATTTAAACTCTTTCATTTCTAAACTTCAATTCTGGACATGATAAGAACAAATGTTTACCTGGGAAAATGTGACTTCTGAAACTTGCAAGATAACATTTGCTCGTCAGATAAAGTGGTGAAAAAAGCCACACCTTCAGGTTAAGGTAGATAAACCACACTGAAGATATTTTTCAGATTTCACCTGGCAAAATTTTAGTTGACATAGTCCACTAAAGATAAGAAAATCTGGATTCTCTGACATGGAAGAGGGATACATTCTTGATTTCACTTCCCTTTTTACTTCATAAAAATTTCTTTTAGGAATTGTGCAAGTGTCACATGTTGTGCAAGCCCTTTGCCTCCAGTTTTTGTGTCGTGAGCTGGCTTGACTTGACACTTTGGACATCATCCAACAGTTCATTCATCCATCCACCCATCACTTTCTCCTGTAGAGGGTCTCGGGGGGCCTGGAGCCTGTCCCAGCTGACACTGGCATACAGAGGCAGGGTACACTCTGGATAGGTCACCAGTCCATCATAGGGCTAATACAAAGAGACAAACAACCAGGCACACTCTCACCTATGGCCAATTTAGAATCCCTGGTGACCCTACCGTGCATATCTTTGGACTGTGGGAAGAACGCAGGAGAAAACCCTTTTAGACAGAGAACATGCAAACTCCTCACAGAAAGGCTCCAGCTGCCCAGTAGGAACCTTCCTGCTCTGAGGTGACAGTCTAACCACTGCACCGCTTCACCGCCCTCAGTCTTTAACAAATGAATGTATGGATTTGCTCATGTTTATGGTGAGGACAGTAGAAAGCATGTCAGTGGCCCTGGAGTTGAGATTATTTTGTAGCACCACATGCAGACCAATTCCTTACACTAAAACACCCAATTAGTAGTTTAACTTTCCACCAAAAAGCTTAACAACCGTTGTACTGCCTGACATTAGTGCGGGCCAGAAGTCATTGGCATTTGACCGTCTTTGGGGTAGAAGACTCTTTCTCCTAGAAATTAAATCTCTGGTTGACCCAATGGCTGAGTAATTGGGGCACCTGCTTAGACCTTTACTGCATGTCACGCCCCTGCTTTCTTTCCCATTCTATCTCTACCGTTCCTATCACAAATAAATGCAAAATGCCAAAATAAAAATATTTAAAAAACAAACAAAATCACAGTCCTATGCAATAAAAGGGCAGAAATTATGTTAGGGTGCAACACAGTTGTTGACTAGGTTAAGTTCAGAGATTTTTCTTGTTTGGACAGTGAATGAAGTGTCAAATTTGTATCAGTGAGTTTGAGCATGTTGGGGTAAATGATAGCAGAGATCAGATTCATGTCTAGATGTCTGTCCGGTGGTTTCAGTTCGTCACCAAAAGCATGAAGTAAAAAAATATAATTTGGTTGAATTGTGTTTCAAGTCAGATTTGACATTTCCTACCTTTGCCTAAACCCCAATGAAGCACTGTAGGCAGCTAAACAAAAAAAATGTAACAGCTGAATAATGCTGTAGTCAGTACAAGTAGAGATGCAAGACTGGATAATAGGACTGCATTGTCAGTGGACATATTACTGCTACATTCAACACATTTGTAACTTGCCAAATATGTTAATTAACAACGTTTCCTCATTACGTTAATAGTAAATCTAATCCAGTCACAATTGAATTTCCTTCAAAAGGTGTTTAATGTTGCAATTTAGTTGCAAATAAATGAAACTTCACAGACGCAGGGTGGGAGAAGTATAGTGCTCTGTGTCAGGGATTGCATTTATGGAAACTGGCATTACCAGTATGCCAGTGAGTTGAATCAAACTCACACAAATTGAACAAAACTCAGGAGCATTGCAAAGTTACTTATCCAAAGAAGGTGAAGTGTGCAAGGCTTTGCTCTGTCCAGGTGGCAGATTATACCAGTGGGGAACCTGTACATACATGTACTGGACAGATTTACCATTGACTTTTGTCACTACTTTAGAACAATAGTCAAAAATCTAATTCTTTTCTTTGACAAGTGATTTTAAGTGTTCTGAGATGACAGCTTTGACAAAAGGGTTATTTGTGTATATAGTCATAATTATGTAGAGGATATATTTCATCTTTAAGAGATACGTTTAAAAAAAAAAAAAAAAAACTGAACCATGCCTGAAACCAGGGAAGCCTTTCTGAAAGCTGAAATGTGTGGGTCGACTGTATCAAACACCTCTTTGCTGAATTCAATAATGTCCAAGGGGCATGATGATAATTTTAATGTGATTAAAGGGATCTGTTAGAGTGTGAAAGGAAATGAGCTCAATGCTGCCGAGTGAGGGTGAGCACGCTGAAGAGGCTATTATGTCACAGCCGACTGCTGAGGGAAATCTGGCATCAGATGTTGTTCATTTTTTTTTAATAAAATGAGAAAGACATTGCTCACATCGCGCTGATGAAGTCTCGGTAATGTTGCTCGAGGAACGGGGCAATGATGGAGTTTAAGCTTGTAAAAAAGACACCTGGA